GAGAGTTCTCGAAGCTTCACGTGGCATGGAAAGAGTGAGAGTATTTCCCATGAGCACAGGGGTACTGATGACATGGAAAGAAAGGCAACCAGACATGATGAGTCTTCAAATTCACCCTTTCTTCTGCCAATTCCAAGCTGCTATAAAGTTTAATTCTAGAATTTCCATTTGGTTTTTTTTCATAGTTTCTATTTCTCTGTTAAGATTCTTTACCTGCCCACTCACAATTTCCCTTAGTTTTTCTGAACATATCTTAAAGTTGGGTTTCTATTGACTACTATTTGTCTGTTTGATTTTGAGCCTTTGTTGACTTTTTGTTCCAACCTTTATGAGAGAGGGACTTTCTGGTGTTGGTTGTGTCAGAACTGGGTCAAGTAATGACACTGAGGGATGACAAAAATCTAATGTCAAAACAGTCACTTCTAGTGGAAATGGTGAATAATATATGATGATTTCCAGTCTTCAAATAAGCAGGACAATTTCAAAACCCTTGTAAAACATGTAAAGGTAGCATCTCCAATCTTCTTGATCAGTTTCAAACAACTGGCAAGACTTTCCCATTCATTAAAGTATAGAACTGGAAGAAAGTTTAAAACATTAGCATCTGCCAAGTTGGTATGGCTCAGTGGCTGAGCATTGACCCACGCACCAAGAGGTCACTGGTTCAATTCCCGGTCAGGGCACATGTCCAGGTTGTGGGCCCAATCCCCAGTGGTGGGCATGCAGGAGGCAGCCAAACAATATTCTCTCTCATCGATGTTTCTATCTCTGTCTCCCTCTCCTTTCCTCTCTCTTTAAAATCAACAAAGAAAAATAAAATTTAAAACATTCGCATCTAACTTCCTGCATTCAGCCAAATAGAAAAGGCAGTCTCCTCCAATGATTAATTTTTTTCTAAGTAAAAAGCAGCTACCTTTCATTTCCTAATATAAAGGTAATACATACTTAGAGAAAAAAATCAACCAAAGGAGACAGGCATAAAGAAGAAAGTACCCAGAGAAATTACAACTACTATTTTGCTACACATCCTTCTAGATACTTCTCTAGGCAAATACTTATGCATATAATTTTATATGACTGGAATAGTATATGCTTTTAACTCAACAGGTAATAAATATTACTAATAAATATTGACACACATCATCCTTTTTAATGACTGTATATCCCATTGCATAAGTGTATCAAATGTATTAAAACAGTTCTCTATGGAAGGGCATTTAGTTCTAGAATTTTGAAATAAGGAATATTCCTTCTGCTTTCTGTATGTGTGTGCATGGGTATGTGTACATAACATCTTTGTGTACTTGTCAGATTATGTCTCCTTGGGGCAATACGTTTTATTATTTCTGGGCTGAAATCCAAAATTTTTAATAATAAACCATTCATGCCAGGAAGATTGTGCCCATTCCCACTCCCACCAACAGTAAGGACATTTTCATCTATTTTTTAAAACTGAGTTTATTGGGGTGACACTGGTTAACAAAACCATACAGGTTTCAAGTGTACAACTCAACAAAACATCATCTGCACACTGCATCGTGCATCCACCACCCAGAGTAATGAATGTCTCTTTCAGTCCTCATTTATCCCTCCTTTGTCATCTTCCACCTCCTTCCAGCCCCCTTTTCCCTCCGGTTATCACCATATTGTTGTCTGTGCCTGTATCATATGGAGAGAGAGAGAGAGAGAGAGAGAGAGAGAGAGAGAGAGAGAGAGAGATCTGTGTGTTTTGCTTAATCCCTTCACCTTTTTTTTTCCCCACCCAGCCCCCCAGCCCCCCGTCCCGCCCCCGACAAATGTCAATCTGGAGATCATTTCCATCTTTGGTCATACTGAGTATGTGCAATCTTTCAAACTTTACGACTGTGTCAGTCAAAAAGTAATATCTAAATTGTGTCCAGTGATTTGTCAATGAGCTCTAGTGCAGTGTTGAGGATGGAACCTTGCCATGTGCTCCTTTCTGGCTTTAAAAGGACAGAGTATGCAATATACAGAGGCCTGGGATGTAAATCAGACCATCTGGTTTCCATACTCCTAGCTTTATTGCCCTAATTGTGTGTGTCCTTGGCCACTCAACCTTACTGTGCTTTAGGTTCTTCGAATGTGAATGAAATGAACATTCTTGGAGTGGGTATTCTTTATCTTCCCTTCCTGCTACTACAAGAAGGAGATGGAGCAGGAACTGTTAGTTAATTAACACGACACCATTCCTAGACCCTTTTTTCTTGACTGCCTCCACTCTAGAAGAGGCTGAAAATGCTCAATACCCCCTCTCTCAGCCTCTTTTAGAGCTACAGGATGGCCATTTTACCCAGTTCTGGTTAATGGGATGAGAAGGGAAGTCTATTGGGGTGCTTCTGGAAAACCTCCTCTTTCCTGATGAAAGAAACAGGCATGAGAGAGAGCCAGCTCACAGGTGCTCTGTCTCCCTCACCCTCTGCCTTCCATGCAGACTTAATGCCTGGACCTGCCAGGAGGTTGTGGTGACTTCATACAATGTCAATTCAGCTAAGCAGGATCTGTTTTCCAGAATCCTGCATGTTCAGTTTACTATTGGCCATCAGAGAAATGTTGCACAAGATCTGATAGGCAGCAGAGAAGCATCAGTCATGGTTTTCATGATCTGAAGGACAATGTAGGACTCCAGGCATGGTGGTAACTTGAGCACACTGTCACTGACCTGCTGGCTCACCTTGCTGGCATGGGGCAACACCCAGACTCCAGCTCCTGCCAGATCTCCTTCTTCAGTCTCTCCAAGCCCTAAGCCAAGTGCATGTGCAGCTCCACAAAGGGTGCCAGCTTCTTCTGCATTATCAAGGTCGGAGGTAATAAGAGACACATGCAGATTCAGTCTGTCTTTGAGGGTTCCAGTTGTTCATGAATTCCAGTTTATCCCGGCAGGTTCCAAGTCTATTCCTGCTCTCACCCAAGTCCAACTTTCTGTCCCTGACTGCCTTCTGGTTTATCTATAGAGACTTCAGGCTTAACACTAGGACCAAAGACAGCAAAAAGCCTTGCAGAGACTCCTTTACCAGCTCCCACAATCATGTAATCACTGGCCAATAGAACTTCTGTGATGATCCTGGCAGGTGTGGCCCAGTGGATTGAGCATTGTTCCATGGACTGAGATGTCCCCGTTGAGGTTCAATTCCCGGTCAGGACACATGCCCAGGTTGCCGGCTTGATCCCCAGTAGGGGGCATGCAAGAGGCAGCCAATAGATGTTTCTCTCTCACATTGATGTTTCTATCTCTCTCTCCCTTCTTCTTTCTCTAAAAAAATCAATTAAAAAATATTTAAAAGAACTTCTGTAATGATGAAAGTGTTTTATGTATGAGCAGCCCAATATGATAAACACTAGACACATGTGGTTATTACGCACTTGACATGTGCCTTGTACAACTGAGAAATTAGATCATTACTCTTATTTTATTTTAAATTATTTAAATTTGAATAGCTATGTGGCTACCATATTGAACAGCTTAGGTCTAGTGCCTAATAATAAATTTATCATTCTTTATCACTCATAGTGGTTCTGTTTCTCTGTTGAATCCTGATACAGGCAGCAACTGGTGACCGTGTGGGGAAGAGCATGCAGATGGAAAGCCAGCAGGCTAAGAATGACAGGGCTGGAGAAAAGAGGTCCAGGATGCCCACCAACCTGCCACTGGTGAACCATCTTACATGACAAAAATAGAGCCCCCTTAGTTTGTCCAATTGGGAGCCCCATTCTCATTCCAATCCCCAGGCCAGAATTATCAATGTCAGCTAAAACATTCAGGGAGAGCCAGCAGGCTCTGGTAAGCTGTGCTCTTCAGTGGGTAATCTTTCCTTTGCTCCAACATGAAGAATGTTTTCCCCTTGCCAATTCCCCATGCAGAGCCTTCCATCTCCTTGTCCTCCTCCCTTCCCCAAGCAAATGTGACCTTCCTTATAGAATATAATTACCCATGTTGTCTATCAAACTGGATTTTTTTTTCAGCCTGTTTTCTCAACCCTGCGATGATGGCAATAGATGATAAGCAACCATTTTTGCCAGCCTCAGTCTCTTAAACTGGCCATTTGAACAATAAACTACCAGGAACGCGTTTTGCTGGCTAGGCCACCGCTAACTGTGAAAAATGTAATGGCTGAACCACCTTTTCTTTCAAGGTGAAGTTTGAGTAGAGAACAATGTGCAGTGGTCTAAAGCTGTGTCCACAAACACAATTCTACACAAGTACAAGGAACATTGTTTTTCTTCTTCTTCTTCTTTTTAATGGTTGCCTCAACAAGCGGTTATCCGTTGTGTTGACATAGGAAAAGGTGAAGTGCTGGCAGCCCAATAAAAGCAATAGTGCAACAGGCAGCTCAGTGGCATGCGTGGTTTGGTTCCTTGGATGGAACTTCCTCTCGATTTTGGTCCCGCCCTCTTAGTGTATCTTCCTGACAATGTTTTTTAAAAAGAAAGAAAAGGAAAGAAAGAAAGGAAAAGAGCATATTGGTCTTACTGCAAGCCGTCTTCTTTGGTGTCTGTGGTTCCCTTCATTTCAACATCTCAGGGTCTTCCTAACTTCTCCATTGTCTGGTGAGTCGCTTTGCTCCCCCCACTGCTGCCTTCCAGCCCTCTACCGCACGCAGCTAAACGCTTCCTAGAGGTCGGAGGACCGCGCGGCTTCGAGCACCCGAACCCGGGGGAGCAGAACAAGGACACCGCTCCCGCCGGCTGCAAGCAGCTCCCGGACGCCCGCAGCTTGCGGGCCTCTGCCAGCGTCGCCCAACGGGTGCCCGGCCCCTCTCCCCGCCGACTCCCCGCCGGCGCGCCGTGGGGCTCGCAGCGCCCCGGGGCCAGCCGTGGGCGCCTGCCCCAGGACGTCTGTAACTCCGCGCCCAGCACCGGGGGCGCGGAGGCGGCAGCGGCCCCCTCGGCGGGCGGCGGCAGCAGGTCGGCGGAGCCCGGAGCGCAGCCCGGATGCTGCAGCCGAGTTGCCTCTCCAGCAGCTGCGGGAGACCGGGGCCAAGCCTGCCTTCGGTGCGCGCTGGGGCCGGAAGGGGCTTCTGGATTTCGATCCCTCCCCTTTTCCCTCTGGGTCCCGGAGCACTCGCGCTCTCAGACCCTCCTCCTCCCAGGTACAGGCCGGGAGAGGAGGACACATCTCTGCGCCCGGCATCCCACCATGGGCAACACCTCCAATGACTCCCGGTCCGAGGACTGCGAGACTCGACAGTGGCTCCCCTCGGGCGAAAGCCCAGCCATCAGCTCCGTGATGTTCACGGTCGGGGTGCTGGGGAACCTCATCGCACTGGCGCTGCTGGCGCGCCGCTGGCGGGGGGATGCGGGGCGCAGCGCCTGCCTGGGGAACTCCATCTCCTTGTTCCACGTGCTGGTAACCGAGCTGGTGTTCACCGACCTGCTCGGCACCTGCCTCATCAGCCCCGTGGTGCTGGCTTCATACGCGCGGAATCAGACCCTGATAGCCCTGGCGCCGGAGAGCCACGCGTGCACCTACTTCGCCTTCGCCATGACCTTCTTCAGCCTGGCCACGATGCTCATGCTCTTCGCCATGGCCCTGGAGCGCTACCTAGCCATCGGGCACCCCTACTTCTACCAGCGCCACATCAAGCGCCGCCGCGGCCTGGCCGTGCTGCCCGCCATCTACACGGTGTCCCTGGTCTTCTGCTCTCTGCCGCTGTTGAACTACGGGGAGTTCGTCCAGTACTGCCCCGGGACGTGGTGCTTCATCCGGCACGGGCGCACCGCGTACCTGCAGCTTTACGCCACCCTGCTGCTGCTCTTCATCCTCGCGGTGCTCGCCTGCAACTTCAGCGTCATCCTCAACCTCATCCGCATGCACCGCCGGGGCAAGAGAAGCCGCTGGGGACCCTCCACGTGCAGCGGCCAGGGCGGCCCTGCGACCCGCAGGAGAGGGGAAAGAATCTCTATGGCGGAGGAGACAGACCACCTCATTCTCCTCGCTATTATGACCATCACCTTCGCTGTCTGCTCCTTGCCTTTCACGGTAAGTCACTCACTTTGTTTCCACAGCCCAGTTCTGCAGCCTCCTCACACTCTCCCCTCTCGCTCGCTCTCTTTCCACTGCCACACCAAAGTGTGCAACTTGTAAAAATGAGCCCTCGTTCGCAAAGGTCTATAGACTTCCCCGTCGTTTCTCACCTTCATCCCACTTCTTCCCGTCCCTAACCCTGGCGCTGGGAACCTTCTAGGCTAGTGTTTCTCATGCAGTAATACAGTCCCACTGACAGGAGCTGGTCCGAATCAAAGGCCGCTCATCGTGTGCCCCTCCGGCCGCTCTTAGCCTGGCTTAGCACCTGAGGAGGAAGCAGCCCCTTCCACCTCCAGGTGGTTGGCAATTACAATCTGACTTCCCTGCGCTGCAGCTTGCCTCCTGGTATCTCCTTACTTTGCTGGTGCTAGTTCTCCCTACTTTGCCTACTGCTTCTCCCACACACTGGTGCTAGTTCTCCCTACTTTGCCTACTGCTTCTCCCACACACTGGTGCTAGTTCTCCCTACTTTGCCTACTGCTTCTCCCAGGGCAAATTGTGGTACCCAACCCATAGCATTCCATCTGCCATTGAGAATGGCCCCCAGTGAGAAGGGTCCCTGTTGCAGAACGTCAGCGCATTCATTATTTGTCCTAAAAGTTTAACAAACACCTAGTTTACAGGTTTCCCAATTTATATATCGCTAGTGTAACTCTTTGTGGCCATGAAAATTTATAATATGTCTGTAATGATAATCAGAGGAAAAGCTGGTTGCATGGAGGAAGCCTTACTAAACTTTGAATCCCTCTGTAGGAGGCATCTGTACTCTCTTACATACATGGTATCTTTTTTTGTCTTTATTGATTTTAGAGAGAGGGATAGAGAGATAGAAACATCGATGAGAGGGAATATCAATTGGCTGCCTCCTGTATGCCCCACACTGGGGATTTGGGTCACAACCTGGACATGTGCCCTGACTAGGAATCGAATCGGTGACCTCTTAGTGCATGAGTCAACTATCAACCACTGAGCCACACCGGCTGGGCCAAAGTATCTTCTTGATGTCACTGTCAGAAATATATACAAGTGCTTTTCAGCTTATAATTGTTTACCTTATGAGCACAAAGCCACAATGGCTGGTCCATCTCAGGGATGGGAGAGGTAGGCATATCCAGCACATGCCGTGACCCAGCAGGCCAAAGCCAGTCTGGAAAACTGAAAGAAAGGAGCCAAGGTACTGGGATGGGTGCTGTCCTGGTTTGAAGCAACCTCAGCAGTTAGTTCTGTGATGCTGTGAGTTTGAGCCTCCTAAGGTGTACATCGCCTGGGATGTGTCGGAGCAGGGCTGGCCTCTTTCAGAGGAATGGAACCTGAAGCTCAGGCAGCTCCACCTTCTAATCTTCAGAACAACAAGACTGACCCTGCAGGGAGTAAGTAGTTGTCAGTGACTCCCACTTGCCCTAGTCTTGGAGGAAAAGAAGAGACAGACGGTGCCTGCCATTAGCTGGTCTGACCTGTAAAAGCTAAAGAAATCACTTTATCTTACTTCCCACCATCTTCTCTGTTTTGTATTATCTTCATATGCTCATCCTCAGGGGTGGGAAAGGACACAGGGTTCTAAAAGCCCAGATAGGACCCTTCTGTGCCTCAAATTAACTCCTTTTCTTAGCTATATTCTCTTTTCCCTGGTCCCCGCTGTCTGCACACTTTTACTGCATCCTCTGTCAGGGCAGAAGCTGGTCTGAATCAATAACTTACACTTTGAGGGGAATGAGATGCAGTGTGTAAAATGTACCATCATATCAAATGAAGTAAGATTGTGAGATTCTGCAATTCCCATCCCACCGACAGCTGGGAAGTTTGTGCAACAGAAATGCTATGATGTGGAAACCAACATGGCTTCTATGGGTTCATTTTATTTTACTGATCAAACCTATAGATTATGTTAGAAGTTAAATAAACTTTTTGGGGTTGGGCCTAGGATGCAGAATAAGTATCTATGAAAGAAAGCATTTCAAGTTCCACTAAACAACTTAGAATTCAACTTGGGAGACATAAATCATCTCTGGCTTGGGGAGTGCCTGTCTTGGACAGGTGAGCCTTAGGATATCAGTTCTTGGAATTTTATTTATTATTTGTGAGTGTGCATATAAAAATATCCCTGACCCCCAGCTACTTAAATAGCCTAGGAATGGGCTCAAAAGGTGGCCAGAAACTTGTAAAAAGAGTTATTTTCTTTCCTTGGCCCTTTAGAGGACGAGAGATGGAAGAAAAGGGGCCTCCCCCTTGAGCATAACTGATCTACTACATACATTGTATTTTTTAAAATAAAGGCAGTGATTTTCAATGGTTTCCCATTTTGTTTGTTTTATCCTTACCCGAGGACATTTTTGCATTTATCTTCAGATAGAGCGGGGGGGGGGGGGGGGGGGGGCGAGAAACATCAATGTGAGAGAGACACATCGACTCTCACATGGGCTCAAAGGTGGCCAGAAACTTGTAAAAAGAGTTATTTTCTTTCCTTGGCCCTTTAGAGGACATCGACTGGCTACCACCCACACAACCCCAACCCGGGCTGGGGACAAACTGCAACTGAGGTACATGCCCCTACTGGGAACTGAACCTGGAACTCCCTGGTCCTCGGGCCAATGCTCTAACCGCTGAGCCAAACCAGCCAGGGCAGATTCCCCTCTTTTTAAGTAAATTTGCCTTTTATCATGAGGACTCTGTCATTGCCATACGTTGATTTTCAAATATATGTATATTTTATGTATATAGATATATACAGATATATATATTTCCTCCCCCTTCATTTGCTATTAAGCCAGGGGCAGACTCAGAGTTGCTATGTAGAAGGGATCAGAGCTAGAAGCCTGGTTGGAGGAGCAGCGAGTAGATTTGCTCTGAAGCTGTGTTTTTGTCCAGATTGCCTGTTTATGGCGTGGGAGGGGCAGGATGAAGACTATTTTGTCAGTAGATTCTTGGTACTTGTTACTGTCTTCATTTACACAGCACTTTAAACCTTATCAAATGTCACACTATCCCAATTTATTTCTTGGAGAGCTTATCTGATAAGTCACAACTCATGGCTACTGTTTGGTACATATGTACATTCTGCTATATTAAAATGCTTGTTGTGTGCCCCGTCCTTTTAGTTTATTGGCCCAGACTAAAACTGTGGTCAGAAATGGCCTACAGCAGTCTCTCACCCGGGGCAGGAATCGTTTGCACACATCCTGACTAGGAACACCGTTGACAGGCAGAGGCCCGTGGCCCTGCAGACACTCTTGTGTTCATCTCGCAGAGCACACGCCGTCCAATAGAAACACTGTGTGAACCACCAGTGTGAGCCACATGTAGAATTTTAAATTTTTTAGTGGCCACACAACAAAAAAGAAAAAGATATTCATTTTAATCAATAAATTTTCTTTAATTCAGTGTATACAAAATATTATCAATGTAAAATGCAATCGAGACAAAATAGTTATTAATGAGCTATTCCAACTAATTTTCTTCCTTGCGTCCCAGAAAATACCGGCAATTTACCCTATGTCTGCCTGTTCCTACCACAGCTGCTTTGTATGTGGCTTATAAGTGGCCCAGAAAGGAGAGGAGTTCACAGCTGTGTGCCCACTGGGACACCCCCTTATTCCAGCACTACAGGAGTGGGGGAAGGAGAAGACTGGGGATCTAGGAAACCTAGGACTACTAACGTCATTGTCCCAAGTTGTGGGCAGGTTAGAACTACTGCTTCTTCCAAGAATCCCAGTCTAGGACTCCAAAGTTTGGGAAGTGAAACTATCAAAATGTAAAATACCCAGAGCCCTGTAATGAAATCAAGCTCCACTTCAAATATTATTATCCTATCAATGTCAAAATGGCTGCCATTTTTGAGTGCTAACTTTTACATACAAGTAACCCATTATCTTTGCAACAACCTGTAAAATAGATAATATTCTTCTTCCCATTTTACAGATGAGGCACATAGTTTACCCTGGGTCCCACAGCTGGTGAGTGTTGGAGCCAGGATTCAAAGCCAGGCCGTTTAGGCACAGAGCTTATGTTCTTACCCATAATACTATCAGGGAGAAATTGCTTGCTTCAGGGGTAACATATAAGAAAATGAATCCAAGATTTCTAAGAGAATTGTGAAGATGTTACAAGTATCTGTACCACTTTGCCTCTTAATTCCAACTTAATAGCTTTAAAAATAAAATGGCAAAGACCTTTTCCTCCGAGTCAGATGACGAGGCCTGAGCTGGGGCCAAGTGTGAGTGGTTCCTTTTTCCTTCTCCCCAAACCTGTGAATTCAAAGGCTGAGACTGAGATTTAAGGAGAATGGCTAATGTAAATGCTGTTCTTAATTAAGAAATAATCAGATCACCCCTCTCATAAAATCTTTCATTGGTATCATAAAATATTTCTTAACTGATTTAAAAAATAAAAGAAATGAAAAAGGCCTGTGTTGTTTAGGAAATGACATTATTTTGGCTGTCCAGTATGAAATCATGCATGGAACCAACAACATATTCCAAACTGTTTATGCACGAAAGGGATATTGTATAAATTAATAAATTCCTCCTTATGTTAATCAGCTGTTGTCATCATTTCACAGAGATAAACAGAAACTTTCTTTATGAAATGGAACAGAATGCAGGAAACATATCCAGCTCCCCTCTTGCCTCAGACACTGTTTGTGTCTTCATTCCCAGCCACATCAAGCCACTTCCTCACTACTTCATTAATGATGTGTGGGCAGTTTCTGGTCATTTTAAACTGTTTTCCACATGCCATTAGGATAAAGTGCTTATGCATTTTATTCAGTTCTAGAATTTCAAGAGTGAACCCTCAGCTCATTCTACAAATTGTCCCCATCTTTAGAAAGTCTTCAGGGCTATAATTTCTAGGTAAACCTGATTAGTGGAAATCTGATCTTTGCAACACAGAACAAATTCAAATAAACAGTACTGGAGTTTCCTGTTCATTCCCAGAACTCTTTATGACATGCATGGGGGTTGTAAAACTGATATGAAGTTGATCAATTACACACATGGAAAATATCACAATTCTAGTAGGGATGAAAGAGCAACCCAGAAATCTCTGTGGATAACCACAATGAACTTTGGTTATGCTTCAGTGACTGTCCATGTACTACTGGAAAGCCCTTTATCATTCATGCATCATTAATGGGGATTGGGGGAATAGTTTGTTTGTTTTTTTAATCCTCACCGGAGGACATTTTTCCATTTTTTGTTCAGGTAGAGTGGGAGGGAGAGAGAGGAACAGAGAGAGAGAGAGAGAGAAACATCGATGTGAAAGGAACACATTCAGTGGCTGCCACCCGCACAACCGACCAGGGCCAGGGACAAACTGCAACCGAGGTACGCGCCCCTAGCGGGAACCGAACCCGGGTCTCTCAGGACCGCAGGCCAACGCTCTAACTGCTGAACCAAAACGGCCAGGGCAATACATATTACTTTTTAAGAGAAGAAAGTTTTTCTAAATGAGTGTTTTCACTTGATATCTTTTCCTTTGCACTTTGATATTATGAAATGGTGGTTATGAATCAAGACATAATTACACGGAGTTTTAAAATGTAGACAAGCAAGAACCATGGTCCTTTTCCCAAAAGAGAATTCGTGCATTATGTCTCCACTCTTGGCCGAGTTGATCATCACTGCTGTTTCAGATGATTAAGACCTCAGCTTAAAGGAAAACAGCTTTTAAGGATGTCATATTTCCTTTTTGGCATTTCAGGAGCCCGTCACAGTATTAAGTATTTAAATAATAATTTAAAAAAAGAATAGAAATGGTACAAGATTGATCTCTGGAGGCATACTGTTTCAGGAAGGCAATCAATACGTCTCTCTCCACCTAAAGGCTTAAGACCCAGTTAACTTGCAACCTAGTCTGCTTAGTTTCCATGGTTTCTCCTGTCCTCTATTTTGAAATTTCTGATCACCATTCCCCATCCTTATCTTGAGCTTACCTTCCTCGTGCCTCGAATTATATCAAGGAATGCCAAGCTTCATTTTTCTCAAACTACTCTGCTACCTAAAATTGCTCCCCCACCCCCCACTCCCCCAAAAGTACTAGACTTAAGACTAGTGCAGTTGCATATGTGCGATGGGACTGGCCAGGGACAGGAAAGTGTATTCGGGAAGGCTGACATTCCCTGCAATCCACATTCCCTGGGCAGCGCGTGGCCGCTCTGAAATCATTTGCAAAATCTTGTGTTTATCTGAGTTCTGAGTAGATGGTTCATAGTGTCCAACATTTTCTCAAAGGGTTTAGAGTCACCACCCTGGAATATACAGGCCCGGAGCTCTAAACCTTAGCATTAACTCTCTTTTGTGTCTGGCTCTTAACAGAACAGCCACCATCACCATCATTGTCCTACTAAACCCAGTAGAGAGACCTGTCCTAAGGAATTAAAACTCACTTGACTCATTTAGATTAGCTCTTGATATTTTTCTTATAGCATATTTATTAGTAGAGTGTACAAAAACATGTATAAATTCTACCAGCCTCTGAAGCAGACTAGCACTGAAACATTATTAATTAATTAACTTCTCTGCAATGTGTCAGCCATTAATTAATATTCAGGATTGGCTGGAGGGAGAGGAGAATGGAGAGTTATTGTTTAATGGCTAGTTTCAGTTTGGGAAGATGAAGAGTCTAGTAACTAGATGGTGAGGATGGTGGCTATTCTGTTCTTTTATGTGATGGCCAGCCAGGTGTGGCCACAAGAGAAGACAAGAGAGGCTCAGGAAAACAAAGTGTATCATACTCACACATCCTACAAACAGGAAGGACTGCACAACACTACAGGCCACATAGGAAGGTACTAGTGCCTAGGTCAGGAGGCAGAAGCAGGAGCTGGGGGAGCCCGGGCCACCGCCTTCATTGGAGTTTCCAAGAGCAAGGCAAGGCAGGGCCGGCTGACCGTGTAGGACTGGCTATTGGAATCATTTCAGCAGGTTCTTGAACTGTAGGCCTGGTCCCCAGGTGCCTGGTACCAGGTCCTAGGAAGACTAAGGCAGAGGAATATTGCCTCCAGGGTACAAGGCCAGAAAGAGCAGCACTGGATTGGTTAATTTGCATATCAAAGGATTGCTCACGCGTGAGCCCTTGGCTATCTCCAAGAATTAGCCATCTGTGAAGGGGCAGTCAGTCTCCCTAGCCTGAAAGGTTTTTAGGATGTCAAAACATTATAATATATAGAAAATTAAAAAACAAACACAATAAAAAAATATATAAACAGTACAGTTGTACAACAGTGTCAATGCACTTAATGACACTGAATTGTACACCTGAAAATGGTTAAAATAGTAAATTTTGTTATTCATATTTTATAACTAAAAAAAACAAACAGTGTCCACAAGACCAAAAATAGTGAGTAAACTCTAGACAAAAGACAAGAACCAAATTTTTTTAAAATGAGAAGGCAGGAGAAGACAAAACTCAACATCAAGAACTTCGAGGGTCATTGAAGTATGTCTCTTTTGCAAGTATAAAAAAAGAAATTGTCTTCTGCAGAATATTAGCCAATTCCTGAAATGCAAATTGTAAGCATTTTTAAAAATTACCCAGCATAGTGGATGAAATGGAAAGGAAACGAATTGTACAGAATTGCTTCATCCTCTACACCCATTTCTCACTTCTCATCGTTCTGTCACTCCAAGGAGATCAGGAACTGAAAACCTGACTCATCTTCACATGCGAAGCTGTAACACCAGAATCCTGAGCCCTCCTGACACTGCCCATCTGGCTAGCCAGTTCAGTGTTATCATTTTCTTTGGCGAAACAAGATTATAAACTCAGACTTTTCTGCTACAGAGTGCTCGGGTGTGTGAGCGCGCACACGCGCGTGTGATGACCAATATATCTTAATCTACCAGATTTATATACAATTTCTGAATTTATATCCTGAATTTCTAAACTCCACAATTGCTCCTTAAAGACACCATATAAGTCCTGTATATTTCTTATCCAGAATAGTTTACTGCCATGAAAATTTTTGCCCCATTGCCTATCCCCACCTAACTTTCTCTTCTCTCTATAAGCAGGGAAATCCACCAACAATTCTTCTTTTTCCTTACTCATCTGCCAAGTCTTTTCTCCATTCCCCATGCCAAGATTCTCTGGCATAAACACCTGTGGCTGCCAAACCTTCCTGTTCTTTTCCTAACATAAGCAACTCAAAGATGACCACTGTTCTCCCTCCCTGCAATCTGCTTTGTATATCCATTTGTCAGATGCCTACAAAGTAAGCAGGAGAGAAGGAAATAAAACATTCCTTCTTCTGGTGAAGAAGAGCGGAGTGAAGAAGGAAGAGCTTTCTAACTCACAGGCTACTGTTGGTAAGAAAGTCCCTGGAGCATTATAAAGAATGGTTTTAGCCCTGTCCAGTCTGGCTCAGCGATTAGAGCATCCGCCCACGGACCAGAGAGTCCCGGTTTCGGTTCCCGATAAGGGCACGTACCTTTGTTGCAGTTTGTCCCCGGCCCCAGTTGGGGTCGTGTAGGTGGCAGCCAGTCTATGTGTCTCTTTCACATCGATGTTTCTCTCTCTCTTCCTCCCTCTCTTCCTCCCGCTCTATCTGAAGATAAATGCAAAAATGTCCTCGGGTGAGGGTAAAAAAAAAAAGAATGGTTTTATGTGACTGGGTGTGATTTACATCTGTTTTCTTCTTTTCTGTAAGCGGAGTGGAAGTGTTTGATTTTTATCGGGCATGTACAGTTCCGTTTCTTTTAATCTGATCAAAAAGTTGTATTGCTCCCCGGAATCTGATGAGAGCAGGTATACCAGTTTGAAACACTGGTCAACAGGTAAAGACGTGTCAGCTTCTCGGTGTTTAGGACATTGCTCTGAAGACCTCTGCTCCAGCACAGGCGGCCTGGATGGAGCACATGGGTGGCAGAGCACTGGTGTCAAGGCAGCTGGCACCTGTCTTGACTCCCCCACCAAACAACCTGGGGACTTGGGCAAGTCCCCAAACTTTCCTGCAACGCACCTTGGTGTCCTCGTTGGTAAAATGGAGAGAGTAACTAACGTTGTGAGGCATTTATTAAGTGAGCACTATTTTAAGTAGCTTTCTATATTACTTCCTATCCTCCCAACGGAGAAGCAGGTATTGTGGCTGTTATCACCTATTTTACAGATGTAACGGAGGCACAAAGAGGTTAGTTTTTCCTGCTGGTCCCAAAGTTCTATGTGGAGCCCAAACTCAATCCAATGGCCAGAACCCATGCTCTGTTGTGTACCCTTTCGCACTGAATTGTGATAATTAAATCAGATAAAGTATTTGCCCTGGCCGGTTTGGCTCAGCGGTTGGAGCGTCGGCCTGCGGACCAGAGAGTCCCGGGTTCAGTTCCCGCTAGGCCCTAGAGGCTAGGGGCCCATACCAAAAATAAATAAATACATACATACAAACATAAATCAGATAAAGTATTTGGAAGTAAATGTAACATGTTATTCACTTTCCTGAAGTTCACGTTCTCATCTGCCAAAAGGAGACCATCGTTACGTTTCGGAGCTTCTGAAAGGCACACACATGTGGAAGAAGAGAGATTTTGCTAGTCACTTCTCACCACCACCACACACAAAGCACGTTCTGCCTTTCATTCTTAAGAAATTGCATATGGTCTAAGCCTGTCCACTGCTGCAACATAAAACTAACATCAATTTTCCTTTTTGCTTCTTACAGATTTTTGCATATATGAATGAAACCTCTTCCCGAAAAGAAAAGTGGGACCTCCAAGCGCTTAGATTTTTATCAATTAATTCAATAATTGACCCTTGGGTCTTTGTCATCCTGAGGCCCTCTATTCTGAGACTAATGCGTTCAGTCCTCTGTTGTCGGGTTTCATTAAGAACACAAGATGCAACAGAAACTTCCTGTTCTACACGGTCAAATGCCAGTAAATAGACTGACCTTTGTGGACAATGGCTAAGAAGTACTTAGTTAGCCAGCATCTGGAAGATCCTTTTGAAATGGCTTCTTGGAGAAATGAAAAAGTAGTTTATAAACAAAATGAAGCTACCCTAATAAAGTAGAGGAAACCGACATTTGAGCAGTGGTTTAGGCTACAGACGTGCTGACAAGCACTTCCTGGAAGGTGTCAGAAGGAGCTGTAAAATCCACCCTCAGTGAGCACGTTACATGGCCTTTGAAGGAACCACTGCATTAAAAATCGGTTGCCTTTTGATTGAAGCTTTCCTGTTGAATGAGAAAGCATGCGGTTCTGTCATTTGTTTAAAGCCTGAAATAGTTAATGTTTGTTTTCTCTTTTAATCGTCTGTTTTGCTACTGTTATAAACAGTGTACAGTCAGACCAGATAAAACTCTGTATGCTTTCTCTAGGAAGTCATTTTGTGGAAGCAACCAAGCCTCTGTTCTGTGATTGCTCAACAAACCCTTTCTTTGGAAGATGAGTTTGAGAATCATAGGCACTTGGTACTGTTCGTGTGTGTGGGAGTTCTCTCGTCACTACAGTATTACTCGTAGAAGTGTAGGCTTGGCTGCTTAATGTCAGTTTTTTCACTAGTCCTCTGGAAGCTGTGTGTCAGCGTGTCCGATTATTTATTTTATAACATCCATTGTGTTAACAGTAATCAAGAAAACCTTAGGAATTTTCCTCTCAACAAGAAATAATAGATTATTAAGAGAGCTGATTCTGATTAATACTCTTCATTCTATTTCCAGGGAAGGTATATGTGGCTATGTCTCAAGCCACGTAGTAGGGTTAAAACTGAAAAAGCTGGTCAGTTCTTCAGATACACTGGAAACTTTTTAATGCTGATGTTGAGGCCATGACTAACATCCACTTTGTAAGATGAGTGTATATAAGCAAAATTCCTCTGCCTATATTTTATTCAAGAAACACGGTTGACTGATACTACATTGGAAATCATGTATCAGTGAGTCATATCTTTATAGATTTCTAAATCTAAATGTTTGGTGTGGGGTAAATTCAGCATGAAAATATTCCGATGAATCTGCACTTTTATCATATCTTAGTTACTGTGTAAACTCATCTGAAATGTTACAAAAATAAACTATAAAATAAAAGTTTGAAAATGAAATAGCATTTGATAAATCCCCCCCAAATAGCATGTTATAGTTAGAGTAAATATAATATTTTTTCCATGAGATAAAGGTAGAAAAAAATTAACTTGGCAGGTTTTTAAAGTATGATTGCGTTGTAAATTAGAGTTGAAAATGTTCAGTATAGTACCTGGTGCTGGAGGGTTTCTTTTTTCATTACAGCATGATCTTCAGGGTAGTAGAACTACCTTTTTTTCTTTTTTCTGTGAGTGTTATTACCAGGTGGCTGTTATAAAAAATCGAAAAGGGATGTTAATTTTTTCCAAAGTCTCATTGAGTTGCTTACGTAGAACCATTTCCTATAAGTAGTTATCAAACTAGTCATCTAGTTTGATAAGCATCAGTGTATTTGATACAATCAATGCCAGATCAGCTTCTATTTTTAAAAGAATAAATAAATGATTTGCTTTTCTACTAAGTTAAACAAACCAGGCAAAATTTAACTTAACTAAAATCTGGACATGTAAATAAATCTTCCCTGTCTACCAAGTAGTCTAAAGTCAAGAAATTGTTCTAAATAGAACTAATTGAGCTCATGGGTAATTGCTAAACATAAAATTCTGAGGCTGCTTTGAATCTGGAAGACATTTCTTTTATCAGATGACTTTTTTTTTTCCTCCAAATGAAAATGTTAATTACAATCCTTCACCCCATCTCAACACCTCTCAAAACTCTGGAATAATGCCTGAAAACTTTTTTAAAAAAAAGGCAAACTTGGACCTAATATCACCAGTGGGAACAAAACGATTCATTCTGGGGGTCCAAAATATGACAGTTTAATCCATTTATTTAAGAACAAGACGATTTCTAGAGCTTTGTTTCCTGTTTCACTCCTGGTTCTTGCACTGTGTTAAATGACTGTTTCATTTGCACTGATATATATATATATACATAGAAGGAATTGAAGGTAAAAATTATATGTAATCGTCAATCACCTACTATGAATGGTAATTTAAAGGTAACAGAAAAATTATTAGGATTAGGTATGTAAATATTTCTCTTTTTTTAAATCCCATCTCATCAGACATACTTGTTTAAGTTTACTAAGTCATTTTCAAGTTAAATAAGAAACACAGAACTTAGTCCTGGCCAGTTTGGTTCAGCGATTAAGTGTCAGCCGGTGGACCAATGAGTCTCAGGTTCGATTCCGGTCAAGGGCATGTACCTTGGTTGCAGTTCATCCCCAACACTGGTCGAGATCGTGCACGAGGCAACCAGTTGATGTGTCCCTCTCATGTCGATGTTTCTCTCTCTCTCCCGCTCTCTCTCCCTCCCTCCTACCCTATCTGGAGATAAACAAATATCCTCGGGTGAGGATTAAAAAAACAATAACACAGAGCTTAGCCTGGTTTATTAAAGAACCGAATTGTGATGAAAGACCTAGATTTTAGTCTTTGCCCTCAACAGTCAGTGGAATGAAAAGAGAGAAAGAAACTATAGTGGATAGTCACCTAAATGCCAGACCTAACTTTAGGTTTCCAGAAAGAGGCCAAAGCAGTTCATTCTGAGCTGAATTATTCCTGGATGTTTCACTGTGGCCCCAGGTCAGCTTTCCCAAGAAAGAACTAGGAAATTCTGCTACTAAACTGTGGCCTCAAATCTCCAAAGCTTCTGTAAGGACTAGAGTTTGCTTAGAAGCTATAGAAAGCCTCTCCAGAAGACCTGAATCTCAGAATAGTTTGAACCCATGGCAACCTAGATCCAGACCAAAGCTCCAGAAAAAGCACCAACCTCAAGTCACCACACTGGTGGAGGCTGCTAGCCCTAAGCAGCGGGGAGGGCAGACCAAGCCCTTCGTGTAATTCAATTAAACGTTTGGCACCTCTGCCTACTCCCATCGGTGCAGGTTGAAAAAAAAAGGATTGTCCTAACACTAATGTAATGTAATTTCTGATTTGAACCAAGAAAAAAATAACGTATTCAGATTTAGAATTTCATGACTTAGAAAGTCAGGCTAAGACAATTAGTTTGCACTTAAGTAGAGGTTTATTTGTTTCACTTAGCCAAATGTTGTAGTTTAAGCCAATCTGATGGATTTCTGAATTTGAGAAGACTCCCTACTTGAGCAGTTCACAGATAGAGAAGCAGTCTATCTGCAAATGAATGATTTATATGTATGGACTTACAATGCCTGCTTATACAGGTGGTGTTGCAACTTGAATATTGATGACTATCTCCTGTCTTCATCAAACACTTAACTCCATTGGAGTTCCTCTCTGAGAGCACATTTATAACATACCTCCAATCACTAACAGCATTATAATTGATTGTTTTTAAATTACAAAAACTTTGATCACCTGAAATGAAATATACTATGAAAATAAATATTTTTCAGCAATTCCCAAAAGCTATAGTCTAATTTATACATGGAACCAAGGGCATGCATTGGGCATTAATTTTTATTTCAGAAAGTTACTCTTATTTGTCCTGGTAGATTGTGTAATTTTTTTTATTGTGAGTAAATTTTCTTGAATTATATTTTTTTATTTACTGTAAAATGTATGTCCTATTAAAGGTCAATTTGAGTGATTTAATTCTGTGGTCCACATGTTTCATTTGTTAAAATCTGCCAAGAATCAAACATATCAGTGGGGATTTCCAGCAGAATGAGCTGGCACACCCAAAGGGTATCTGAGGGCTGTTGAGTGAAAGGAATGTTTACAGAGAAATAGGGCTTGGGGAATCACATGGGATAGTGAAGGATCCCTTGCAAGCTGCTATCACTCATGAGTCAGAAGGGACAAGGGAGGAGCAGTTTCTGGACACCAGTGAGAGCTTAGGTGGTTCCACCCAGCAGGAGCTGTGGCCATAAGTAGGGAAGCACAGTTGTTGCCACACTACAGGGAGGAAATGAAGGGACTACCTTTCCGGAGGATCTCTCCTCCTACTCTCTACTCTTCTGCATGTTCCTTCCATTGGCCAAACCCAACTATAATCCAGAGAGTAAGAGGCACCTGGGTAATGTAGCCCATGAAGCCCATAGTTCAGGTGGAGAGTAGACTTAGAGGGGCAAATGGAGAATATCCAGCATCAGTAGATTAAAAACATATGTTCTTTTTTAAAAAAAATTACACCAGCACAAAAATTGAAATCACAAAGTGGGCTGCCTCTCTTCCTGCATTTTACTCCAAATAGATATCCAAGCTTGGGGAATAGGAATCAGTCCCATCTGTGTGGAAAGGAGTAAAATATTCTAGATTCCTTTAGCAAATATTTGTCATTGACTGTGCTCTTGGAGGCTCAGCATTTACATCTCTCCTACTCCATAAGGTGATGAGGGAAGCCCGGCAGGTGTGGCTCAGTGGTTGAGTGTTAACCCATGCACCAAGAGGTCGCCGGTTCAATTCCTGATCAGTGCACATGCCTGGGTTTCAGGCTCGGTCCCCAGTGGGGGGCATGCAGGAGGCGGCCAGTCAGTGATCTCTCTCATTGATGTTTCTATCTCTCCCTCTCCCTCTGCCTTCCTCTCTCTCTAAAATCAATAAAGAAAAAAAATACTGAAAAAAAAAGATGATCAGGGGAGAGAAAGGGGACCAGACCAAAGTACCTTTCTGTTTCCCCTGCCCACCATCATACAGCTTATAGCTACTCCTAAACAGAACAAAGGGAAACAGGCATGCATACTGATCTGGAAATTAATTGAAGCCTTATTTTTAAGAAAGACCACTGGAGTGAGAAAAATTGAGAAGAAGCTCACTTAACAATGCTGAGGGCATTCCATACCCCCAAATTTAACACAAGCTAGGATAGGTCTACACAATTGTTATAAAGAAAGAGTACAGCCCTTGCTCAGTGGTTAGGGCGTCAGCCTGTGGACCAGAGAGGCCCAGGTTCAGTTCCTGCTAAGGGCCTGTACCTCGGTTACAGTTTGTCCCTGGCCCTGGTTGGGATCATGTGGGTGGCAACCACTCGATGTGTCTCTCTCACATCAATGTTTCTCTCTCTCTCTCTTCCTCCCTCTCTCCCTCCAGCTCTATCTGAAGATAAATGCAAAAAACAAAAACAAAACAAACAAACAAAAAACCAAACAGAGTACATATAGCAACTCAGCAATTCTGCAGAGTTTAAAATGCTAATATAAAAAATATCAGGAAAAAGCAAATTTTAACAAAACGGAAAAAGACTGGACAAAGTATGATGCCTCAGGCCATCTGTTCATGTTGCCCTTTCTGCTATCACAGAATTTGTCTTTACTTTTTCTTCACTTCCTCCCTTCCTGCCCTGGAGCATACTTTCCCGAGCACAGACTGTCTCCTGTCCTCTCTGCCACTGAACCCTGTCTTCTTCCACATACACACTCACCCTTTCCTCTTTCAGCAAATTCTAGATTTATCGGGGGATATTAAAGATTTGTCAGACTGCTGGAAGTTTCTCAGACACGTTATTGAACATCTCTGACTCCTAGTTTCCTCATCTATTAAATAACAATAATGAAATTACCCATCTCCTCAATTATCTCAGTGATTAAAGGAATAACGGCATGCAGGACATGGGCATGGGCACAGTGCCTGGGCATGGTAAATGCTAATAAGCTCAGGGACTGGTATTATCTTAGCTGCCAAGCTCAGTGGCCCCTCTGCCCTCCTCACACACATCTGGCTCAGACTGCTCACTCTTGGTGGGGGTCACGGTAGTAGGGGTCATGGGATCTATTTGTTAACTCTGGGTAACTGCCAAGAATGATAATGATGATAAGGACATGGGACAGGTTTGTATTTCGGAAAACAGTGCAGACTGGCACACAGGGGACACTGTAGAGGACTTTGTGAGTAGAAAAGAGGAGGCCAGAAGAGACAGAAGGACAACAGGACACAAAACATGATTCCTGTCCCTTCTACGGAGGCATGGAAGAGAATGAGAGGGAACACACCTGAAATGTTATTCAGACAGGATATGTTGTGTGTTGGGAAACACAACTCTATCACACAGCTGACATCGAGATTTCATTTGCACATCATTTTCTGAAGAGCCCCAAATAAGTCCAAGCCAAG